AGAACTGCATAAATGCTTAGTATAATATAATAATATAATATTAAATTTCATTCTAAATTAAGTCCTTTCAGGCAACTTAAACTCTTAGCTAATAAGATTTGAAATATTAAATGATTTAAAGTTAATAATAATACATGACAGATATAATATATTTACGAATTTTAAATTAAATTATCCATATTTATTTGCAAACGAATTATTCTTGAGTACCCATATATAATCGCTTGTCTTGAGGTTGGTAATAAAACTTTTGTTCTTGACTATGTTTAAATGACGATTTGCGTGGATGTGATGAATTATTAGAGCTATAAAATCCATTATGAACCTTCACAAAATACGATACATTGTGGTTTTTTAAATTATTGTCTTTTATTGACAAAGTGAAATAAAATTGCGCAATTTAGAGTGAAGTGCAATTTATGATCCATTTCACGCAGTTATTATTTTAAAATTGTTTTATTGCCGTTGTAAAAATGGTCCTAGTCTATTATTTTGCAAGTAAAAAATGTTTAAAATACAAATACAAATGTTTAGGGTTCTGTAAATAAATGGTTGGATGAATCTTTTAAATTTTATTATAGCTGTTTGTTAGTCAATATGTATTTTACAGGAGTTAACTCTAGTTTATTCTGGCGTAAAACTGTATTTACATTAAACTATTTTGAGGCATCTAAGGGAAAGAAAACTTGAAATTAAACGTTATTACCACACTCTCAGTTCTCACTTGTGAGAAGAGGAACATGTGTAGCAGTATGTTGTGAAAATTAGTCACTTACCATCAGGTGAGCCGCATGCTCGTTTGCCCCCTGTGTTGTAAAAAAAAATTCATTATTTGTTTTTTTTTTAAGGAAACACGACTCTAATGTTTCATGAATAGTATGCCTACCTTTTATAATAATTTGTTATTCAGCTTATCAGACGTTTTGTGTGTTGTAATGTCATCGTCTATCCATAGACAAATGTACAAGGCCCAATATTCTTATCAATTAATACGATATCAATGAGTTGATTTGTGTAATGGCTATAAAAAAGTTCGTTCAATAATCTTCGAGTTGGTTGCACTTACGTCATTCCAGATGATTTCATCATTTTTGTTCCACATCTAAAAGTCTATCTATCACAATAACATTGAGGCCCGCCTAACCTTGCATGGTGACCACATGTTGCCCAAATTGTCAGTTTTTTTTTGTGACATTGTGTGTAATGTGGGAACTAAGTTATACCTTTCGAGACAAGGGAAGTCATGCATCACGGCTTAAGGTCACAACATCGATTATGTAAGCGTTAGATTAGGTATAATGATATCATTATTTTGCATGTCTGAAATATTGTCTAATCACGACGCTACAACAATGGTACTGATAAATTAATTTTCAGATAGCTGCATCCTGACATATGAATTACAATTTAACATCTCGTTAGGTATCTGTAATGTACATTCGACTACATATACACTTGTATTTATCGCAGCCTTGTCATGTTAAAATACACATGTATGACAAATGAAAGGATATGTAAAACATAGCAGTTGTATGTAGACAAGTAATATATAATTTGTCAAAGATTGTACTTTTAAAATTATTTATATACATATATAAGTGATAACTACTGGGAAACTCCATCAATATGGGCAGGTTTATCATCAACAGTAGACTGTTAACGGCTAATTACCCAAATTAAATTATTTTCTCTCTAACTACACCGGGTTGGCTGGAAGAGATCTCTTTCAGAGATAAATCCTCCCTTACTAACAAGTTGTTAAACTATCGTCGCATGTATTGTTTAAGTGCAATAAAGAATATAAATATTTTTTTACAGAATTGGACACGTTCTCGTACAACAATCTAGAAGTCCGAAATTCAGCCATAATATAAATGAAATCGAACAACTTTCTCTGCTTGGAGAATGGGTAAAAATATCTTTTTTGAACATTTTGCATCGATATTTGAAATGATCAAAGATATACAATCAGGTATTAAAATTGACTACTTGAAATAGAGTGCAATCAAACAAATTATGTATTCTTCTTTAAATTATGCATTCTTCTTTAAATTATGCACTCTTCTTTAAATTATGCATTCTTCTTTTAATTATGCATTCTTCTTTGATCAACGTCTGGTTTACGGGGTAGAGGATTGTTAAAAACGAACTAACTGCCCTATTACTATCAACACAATAGTAATTAGCAGAACATGCTACTCTTGGAAACCCTCCGACTTACTTCTTCATGAATATGTTATGATAAACCAACAAACCTTCTATTATATTTTTCATTGCTTCGACAAGGAAGTCTTTTAGGATTTTCATTCCACACAACAACCAAAAACACATTTAATCGGTTGAATAAAATTACAAGATCATAGTTTCTATTCAGCATTACCTTCAAAATTAAATTCTAGTTAAAGATATATTTGAATACTCTTTTAATGAGAGTCAACCGGCGGACGGTAGTAAATGAGGTGATTGCTGAACGTGACATGTACTTTTACAGCTGATATTTCGTTTCCACAAGTCATGCTAATAAATGGCAACTAAACAATGAATGAGATGCAGATCTCGGCGGTACTGTGTGGATTCCATTATTATTTGTTACTAGTAACAACAGACAGAACAACACGCTAGAACGTACAAAAAATAGGCAGTAAGCTATTTTGATTTACATGGGCTCATAATAGTTTTGTAATAGAAGTTTCTAGTTTTCCTTATTGCTGAATAAAAAATTATTATTGTCGAGTGATCCCGGCATAGAATGGGCCACTCCCTTTCTTTTCCGTGGGTGTTGTAAGAGGTGCCTAAGGGGGCTTAATGCTATAGGTACGAGCGTCCTTTTTAAATCAACATCAAAGTCTAATTGTAGTTGCCAAGCCAAATGCCAAGCGTGGCAACTGCTAGTAAAACCCACTTTTATGGGGAAGGCACTCAGCAGTGGGCAGTTAATGGCTGGTGTGAAGATGATGTTGTAAATCTTTGTTAAATTACTTTTAACTCGAACGCTATGGGTACACTATTCGAATATGCAAGCAGTTGATATTCAGGGAATTATTTATATGTACAGACATCGGCTAGTTACAATTTTATTATATGTATACATATAGATAAATAGTCATAAATCAATGTTGCGTTTAGTATCCCTTTGACTGATTTCGGATAACGATTTCCTACCGCAGAACTAAATGGCCTTTAATCGAGAACAAGTATAATCGATTGAGTGCTATTCAGTACTTGATCGATAGTTTCCCAAGCATTCACCCGACGTTAGTTCAACATATCGCCCGAAGAACATTTGTCAGTCGGCCGCGACTTGTGTTGCAGGACAGATTTAGGTTACACCTTAATAGTTGTGTAGAAATAGAATTGATTTCGATAATTTTTATCGAATTACTAACTATAAAGCCCCGTTTATACGTGCAAATTGTAGACGATTAAAATTGCAAACTGTGTATAGTTTTAGACCTCCAAAACACGCGTCCATTAGATAATTTTTTTTTAGATATTTTAATTATTTATTGAATTACTAGTTATAACAATCGGTTCATATGGCAGAGAATTTGGTCTCTGGCAATTCACTGATGTTCCTTCCTAAAAGGCTGATAACACACCTGCCTCCTGGTGTTACCGATGCTTATGAGTGGCGGTAGTCACTTACCATCAGGTGAACATCCACCTCGTTTGCCTCCTGTGTTATAAAAAAATTGGCAGACGGACGTGAATATTAGTAGTGATATTTCATCGCTACCAAATTTTTTTTTCTGCTGTGTGAACTTGGCTGAATAGGAGACAGTAAAAATTTTGGATAGATTTTACTTTAAAGACTGTTTTAAGGTTTTACAGTTGTATAATGTTAAAAGAGAACAGCATTTAACGAGCTACTTTACGCTTATTAAGCATTGGTTACTTTTTATATACGATGAATGCAACTATGTGTTAAGCGAACAATTATCCATTTTTGTATTCATTATTACGTTGTGGTTATACCGAGTGGAAAATTGCTACTAAAATAGCATTGAAGTTTTTTTTTTTTTTTATATGAAAGCTACATAAATACCATTCATGGCCTAGCAGGAGTTCTGAATTTGAATCTTGTATTTATTTTATACAATTTTTGTATTTATTACATAGTTGATAATCTGTCAATTGAAAGTAGTTCATAAAAGCGAAGTAAATATTAGTTAGACACAGTATTATCTACTGACATGAAACACTGCGCAGACGCAACATATGCAAATGTTTTATTCGTAACAAGTTCAATTGAATTTCAGCATCATCTGGCAAAGTCATGAGATGTTATATAACTTTGTCAAATGTGATGATTACCATAATATTTTGAGTATAATAATTATTATTCTTAGAATATATTATTAAATAAATAAATTGCAAACTCTACTGTACTATATGATAAAGAAATAAATATTATTAGTATTTAAAGATCATGCAACGATATTTAAATACTAATTAAACTTTTTGTTTTTGTTTTTTAATGATATTTAGAAAGATAAACAAGCAGACGGATCATCTAATAGAAAGTGGTAACTGTCGCCTATAGATATGAGCATGGACATCACAGAGTATACTGTAATGCTCATGGTACTCTTCATGTGTTACCATTTCTGAAGATTGGTATTTTGACTCCGTACCCTGTAATTTTCCTACTATATCTCACCTTTTAAACTTAAATCACAGCCATGTAACAGCTACTTCTCGACAGAAATACGAATAAGACTGAGGTACTCATGTACTTTATATACAAAGTCTTTTTTTGGTGGTCTGGAGACATTTAGCATATTAATTATATATACTTACAAGGTTTTTTTACGATATAATAATGATAATGTATGCTTTAATAATTAGTGATCTGAACACCAGAGTTTATAGTCTGCTTTCATCAGTTTCGTATGTAACAAAGATTTCCGATATAATTCTGGTCCTTTGAATCTTCAAGCAAACAAATTTTAAGTTTTATGCTGAAACTTTATCTTGGTATCTTTCAGACTGCAGTCAAGTCTTGTCCGACTGAGCTGTCACTGTTACAAAAACAATACTATATATATTTTCCTTCGATTAATTTAACAGATTACATCGACCTGTCTTGCAAATTGGCTTTAGTGTCAATTTAATACAGAGAAAATAGACCAGTTCGTAGTCACGTGATCAAAATCTGTCAAATTTGCAATAAGTTCCCAGGATTTGGTTATTTTTTTTAGTGAACACAAAGCCCAGTGCGTCGCAAACTTTATTACTGGCTGGATGATAAAAACGCCTTTCGCGACGCCTCTCTAAATGAAAGGCAGAACATGCAATAAGCAGATTCGGTAACGTTTCATTTCTATTACTGTTTTTGTGCAGTGTGAATGAGATAAATAGAACTTTACTTTCTATTCGGTCCACTGGTCTTTATAAATAATATATAATTTTATATGCCTACTAATACTGTAAATGTTTGTTAGTTTCTTACCTCTTAGTTAGTTTAGTAGTTTAATTTTTAGACCATAATAACTAGTTTGTTAAAATCGAAGTCGGCTTTTCTTGAGGGATTTGTTCAGTCTTTGTTCATCTTTAATTTGTTCAGCCATTATATGTTTTGTCAAAATCGAAGTCGGTTTTTCTTGAGGGATTTGATCTTTAATTTGTTCAGCCATTAATTGTTGCTTCTGGGTTTATTACATACACTATGAGTATGTGTACTAAACTGCAAAATAAATTATCAAAACTACTAAAAATAACAATTTTCTAAAAATATTTATTATATAATTTTGACTTCATGACGATATTTTTATACCTGCTAGCTATGTAAAGATGAAGACAAGCACCACACTACTGAATGGGAGAGTTTACGAAATATACAACTATGTAATATAAGTCAAGTTGTAAGTTGAAGGCGTGGCATAGTCAATGGCTATGTCCTAACTTTACGGATCGCGAAATTGTTCTTGCAACACAACTACCTCCCGTCGAGATGCCACCTGCTTACGGACTTAGTTCCGATCTAACTAGAAAGACTGAGTAACTATTCATTTATTACCTACTAGCTTTTACCCGCGACTTTGTCCGCGTGACCGGGATATGTTTACTGAATGGGACGAAAAGTAGCCTTTGTTGTTCCCTATTCCATGTAGTTCGTGTATATCGACTTTCACAGTGATCGATTGAAGATTTATAATATTTTTAAGGATAAGAATTTAAAGGATGGGAATTTATGGCTGTGAATTTACAGGGTACAGAGGTATAACACCTTAGTTTTCAGGTGTGGCAACACATGGTATCATGGGCGATACAATATACTCTGTTATGTTCATGGTACTGTTCATATCTATAGGCAACGGTTACCACTTTTCATCAGGTGGGCCATCAGCATGTTTGCCATTCTAAGTTGCATAAAAAAATTAAATTAATGAAAGGCATGCGCCTTATATATGCAATATATAAGCAGTTTCGATTACATTTAATTTCTATTATTGTTTTTATGTATTATGAAAGAGATAAATAAATCACTTTCTATTCACTCCTCATACGTTATTGTTGGCGCGCGCATGGGAAAGAACAAAGATGTTGCCGTCTCACACTAGGTACCTTATATATGAGGCAGCGATAACGTATCCATCGTTAGTTTATTTTATTGCTTGCTAATAGGGACAGGTTACTAGTCTCATTAGCTATTATACTATTGTAAACAATGCTGGATAGGAGTTTCTTGTTCGTGGGCTAGCGGGACGTCCGGGGCTTCACTGTGGCTAGATCGTCACGCGGAACGGTTGTCGGACCTGTTATTTATGAATTCGTTTGTTCATTAACAGTTTGTTATATACAAGTAAAGTTGATTTGGTCAATATGCAGACTTTTAGTTCTCTTTAATTTTCACATTTATTAGACTATTATATTATTAATACTATGACTTTATTTACTCGAATTAGAAAAGCAATTAATTCAAGATATAGTATCTTTGTGTACCAAATTTTATTTAAATTCATTTAGCCATTTAAGCGTAACTGAGTAATTTATTTATTTATTTATTAATTACTTGAAACATGAGATACATGGTGTTACAATAGGCATAAATACATGTTTCACCGGGGGAAAGGGATTGTTAGTAATGGAGACTCAGAATCTTATTGCTAGCAATATACCCAACCAGGTCGACCTTCTCGCGGTTCTCCCTGGAAACTATCATGGTTAATTCCTGATGAATTCATCATGGCTATTCATCATGGGCTAACTGAACTGTTTTCATTCTCATTTATCATCCTTCACTGGTGCTCCGCCAGCGTATCCCGTTAGCGTAGGCGGGATTACCATACCATTTTCACCTATCAAAAAAAAAATACATGTTTCGCGATACATACGCATGTAAATATTGAATTCTTAATATTAATTTTATTTAAAATTAAGAAAAAAAATAAGCCTTATATATTAATATTATATAAATTCAATAGGTATAATAATGTCAAATATCCTAACCTTTGAGCAAGTAAGAAATTAAGCTATAATAGAACAGGTACACCAAGCCTAATAAAAAACCTTCTTTTTCAATTCCTACGAAAAAAATAAACTATTGAAACCTGTTTACAATTAACGTAGACCTTTGGTTACACAACATATAAACAAAAAAGGCAGTTGAAACCACATCCCTTTCGAAATCAGTTAAAAACAATAAATTAATTATTAACAATGCGGTTATTGAATGCGCAGTTGAAAATTTCCGAATTACTCTACGCAACAGTTAGGGCTGTGAGTCAACGGTTAACGAAGGAAAATTGCTCCATTTCACAATGTGAGTCAGTGCATTGTGTTCATTATCACGCCTTGAGAAGTGTTCGCCGCTTTTTATGGCGTTTTGTGAAATGAAACTCACCTATTTGGTGATTGGACACGATCTCTAAGTTAAGCAACTGTTAGTGTTCGGATGAGTAGGACGGAAACATTAGTTATTGTTTCTAAATGCAAATTTTGTTAGTATACTATTATTACTAAATTATTGGACTAAAATGAAAATTGCCTTTATTTATGAATGGATAATATAATTGGCAATTATTATTAGCAAATTATTATAGGGACATTAATATATGAACATTATTATTATAATCGATGCTGGCAGCTTGGTATTCCACATTTTAGTAATCTATCCTATTATAATGTTGACTATTTATAGTATAAATATGTCTTATTTATTTATAGTATATATATATATATATATATATATATATATATATATATATATATATATATATATATATATATATATATATATATATATATATATATATATATATATATATATATATATATATATATATATATATATATATATATATATATATATATATATATATATATATATATATATATATATATATATATATATACTTATGATACATTTTATATGGATTATTTTATATTGTTCTTTATATCATTTAGTGAAAATTGACAATAATTGTCAATGGTAATAATTGTTTTATTTGGAGGTAATTTAAGAAGAGTACTCTATGAGGCACCTCATAGTTGCCGTAATAGTAATGTCATGTGACTGAAGTTGCCAAAATTTTAATTTGAAAATAATATATAACATGGAAAGGTGCAATTATTATTGAAAATTACATTGACTACTGTGTACCTACGTAGTACTAGAGTAGTACTTTGAAGATTTAATTATAAGAATTGATTATATTTGATTGTGTACTATTATGTTTGTTTCTCTGATACAATTACTTTTTGTGTACAATAAAGAATAAAGAAAGAATATCCGTATTGTTTTACGATTTAGTTCTACTAGTAGAACCGAACGGACTGAATAATCCATTCTGTTCTACTAGTAAAACAAAACGAACTAAAAAAGTTAACTAACTTTATTCATCTACAAGTTCTATTAGCAAGAAAGAACGGAGAGAGAAATTATATTAATTTGCATCCGAATTGTTCAACGATTTAGTTTCACTGTTGTTTTATAACAAGATAGGAAACCTCTTCGCATTTCAAAAAATTATGTGTAAATAATTTCAATAAAGATATAAGTATGTTTGACATAATTGCTTATGTAGACAAATGGAAGTAAATTATTGATTATTAATTAATAAAGTTTGGTATGATTAGTTTTAATTCTAGAAATACTGTAGGCCTTAGGATACGAGATCACTATAATTAAACTAAAAACGGCATCCACAAATAATAAACTCTCGAAAATTTAGTACACATTTTTTTGTTGATTTGTCGCACTCATAAAAAGCGTTTCGAATGCATCTTTTTTGTAAACGCGCGTAAGTAAATTTTTTACAAAAAATTGAAGTAGAAGCATGCCGGAAACTATTTGCCATTACGAATTACTCCGCTAGAGACATGCGAATAAGGCGCGTTACCTCTAATAAATAATATTTTTTCATTAAACAAATTTTAATTTATGCTCAATTTCGCCAATTTAGCTCGAAATTAGGCAACGGAATTACAAAAATGCTACAATTGCGGCACGGAACAGGATTCGGTGCGACGAAATCCGATGAAATGTTGCATCAGGTAGAAAGGATTTATTCTTGCGAAACATTTTACTGATAGCAAACAGATTGCGAATTGTAGATGAATAATTATTCATTTCCTTCCATTATGTTATCATAGCGCGGACGCAAGGTTCAAGAAATCGAGATGCCTTCATAAGGTCAAGTGATACGCTACACAGGTAGGCATACAATAGATGCCCTTGAAATGGACGTAACTAATGAAGATAATTTTTTAAAGAAACAAATAAATTAAATTAATGTGTTTATAACTATCGTCATAGTACAAGTAAATATAAATACATATGTATATATTACTTAAATTAAACAAAATAGAATGTAAGTCAATACTTGTTACTACATTTTTTTATAGCACTGAGGTGGCAAACAAGCATACGGCCCACCTGATGGTAAGCGGTTACCGTAGCCTATGAACGCCTGCAATACCAGACGCATTACGCGCGCGTTGCCGACCCTGAAGAAACCTCTTTATCCCCCTTTTGAAGAACCCCATGCTGTAGTCTCTTGGGAAAACCTCGGCAGGGAGCTCATTCCATAACCTGAGTGTCATCAATCTTTCTCTGTGTAATCTCGGTATAGAATGAGCTACCTCTTCTATTCCTGTGGCTGTTGTAAGAGGCGACTAAGGGAATTTAATGGCTGATATGATGATTCCAGACTTAGAGAATACTAAGGAATTATACTTAGATGAAATGAGGCGTTAATGATGATGACATGCTTTTGTGATAGAATTGGCAATATATCTTATTGAATAAATTTTTGGATTGAAATACAATATTTTTTTTTATTAAGTACATAGTACATATATTAAACTCGTATAGTAAACAATTAAAGCTTTATAATCTATAATTTCAACTGCGTTATGTTTATGTAAAGTACAAGGAAATTGATAATAAATACAATATAATGCGGATAGAAATAGTATAGAGCGAGTTACGTTCCTTTGGGCGTGACAATAATTACGGTATGTATTTCTGTGTTGTGTATATAAGTACATTCGCTTAGTAATAGTGTTTCTATGAAAAACGTGCGTCAAAGACATTAGCAATTAGCAAAGCATACTAAATATTAAGATCAAATATGTATCCGTTGAGATCAAACCGTGACTACATCAAGACCAGGTATTAACTACCTATTTACATATTCTTATTTACCTATAACCAATCGTTTCCTTACAGTTTAATGATCAGTCTTTAGTTCACGTGTTAATTTACATACAAGCTAACTGTTGGATTACTTCATTGTGTTCATCGTGATAGGTAATTCGAGGTTGGCTATGAACTATAATGTAGCTATCAATAATAAGACTCTTATTTTAAATGTGAATATTTGTAAAAATATGTATGTGAAAATTTTACCAGAAAGAGATTTTGTACACAAAATGTCTTCATGCGTTCTTCTGTCCTACTCATTTTTTTTTACCGTGAAGCAGCTATGCTTGTATGATTGTTTCGGTTTGAAGGGTGAGGTATGGAAATTAAAGTACAGGGTACAGGTAGTACG